ACCTTTGAATCTTTGAAGGTACATGAGCGCAAAGCTCTCTTTCCTCTAGGATTTGTATGTCTTAGCGTAATCAAGAATATTTAAGTTTTCAATATTTAAAAAAATTCTTCGTCATGAAAACTTACGTATTTGGAACCACATGAGCCTTTTAATTACTGGCCCTCTTGGTAAAACTGATCTCATCACATGTTTATAAGTTTTCAATTAACCCAAAAAGAAAAACTATATGACTTATCATCCTCCCAGTTTGTTATGCAAATTGTTTTGACCGATAGATGATATATTAAAAAAATTTCGACTTTTACGATTCATATATTCCCATATTTGCACCAATATATAATTAAATATAAAAGGAATAAACAACAAACTTGTTATAAAAATTGATTAATTTATCTTATAAGTGGAATGAAAAATATTAATATAATTAAAAGATCTCTTCTTCTTTCTTTTTTTGTAGGAATTAAAATCTATATTATTAATTGGGAATCACTAAATATTAAATAACCTTATGAAGAGTAAAATATTACAAAAAATGTCATTGGTTTTTAGTGTTTTTAAATAACTTCATTAAGGGTACAATAGTAATCACAAAATTAATATATTTAAATAAAAAATTATTTAATTCTTTTAAATAATTATTAATTTCCAAAAAAATAAACTAATTTTCTCTCTCTTATTAATTATAAACGAAAATTTGAAAGTAATTTTTAAAAAATTGTTAACCAATAGGAATTGAAAAACTAAGATTTGATATCCAACTAAGATTTTAATTCAAAAATAAAACAAAATTTAATAGACTATTCTATATCAAAAATAAAAAGAAAAATAATATCATTTTAATTCAAAATTAAAAACACTATCGTTTAAAAGATTTATCAATGGAGGACTTTAAGGTTAAATTTAAAATTTCGTAAGAAAACTAAATACAAATATTTTAAGATTCAGTTTTGTTATAATATTTTCACAAATTTTAAAATATAAAACAAAATTTTATTTCACAATTTCTAAAATACGATATTAGGTATTAACAACTCTTTATATTTATGATGAAATAAACTCAAATAATAATAAATTTAAAGTAATTATCATTATAGCCTTTGTTTAAAGCAAGTTTGATAAATATCTAACAATAGATTGTATATATTAATTTCTA